TCAAATGAATCAGTATTACCAAAACCCTTTTCGGATTTATGAAATTAGTTTCAATTTCTGCACGAGTCTCCTCTTGTGTCTCTCACTCACTTCTGCTCAAGCTGTTGCAGGTGGTGGTCACTCCTGGGATGGGATCGTGGTGACTCAGGCGAACTATCAGGCGCTCCAAGCAATCAAACACGACCTCATTGACTTCACCGGAACAACTCTGCCTCCTCTGGTGTTTGCTCTGGCGGCTGGACTGGAATCAGATGCCTCCGAGAGAGACTGAGGCAGAATAAATCCTGTCAGATGGCAAAGAGGAGAAATTCTTTATCAACCATGCGAACTTCATATTGTTAGGACTCATTTGACTTCTTATTGTTAGGCGGCCATAAATGTGATAAAATTTCCTCATAAGTTTTCTCGGTAAATACAAGATTTCATAAGTTCTAATACTTGATTCAAAACCCCATGCCTACATTTATCCTTAATCTGAGGAGAGAAGGAAAAGTATAATTAGACAAAGTTGAATTCAACTTACGCAATCGGTAATGGAGTTCTGTTTTGTAGACCGTAAATGCATAAATCTCCAATAAACGTACAAACACTAACACGAAAAGCAATGAGCTTATATGAAAACACTGACCCAATTATACTTTTGTAACATTTTGTTCCAACCAGCGAAGAATCCAATGCACTACCGAGCAAATGAAAAAGAACAAGAAAACTAAGCTTCAAATATGGACACAAGGCTTCGCTAAATATAAATACTGTTTAAGTAGATGGAAATAACACTTGATCACGGTTATTTCTTGTTGGTTGGTTTCAGTCCTGCCTCAGTGTTTAAAGAGTCGTCTGCTATACAAGATGGTTGTATCTTTCAAACAGTGTGTTCGGGTTGCAAGTTCTTGCCTCGGCTACATTCGGCTCATGATCTGCAACTCGTATGTTCTGCTGCTCGTGTTTTGTTGCTGCACCAATGTTGGTTAGAGGAGCTTGTTTTCAGTTACAAGCACATGGATCACTTGTTTAGTCAAGCAGTCTGAAGAGGGTTTTGTCACTGCGTTTTCTGGATCTCTCTTGCTTATAGTGATGTTATGTGCCAATGGAAATGGAGAATTTGCCAGCCAATGGACTGCATTTGACATTGGTTGTCAAGTTCATCGAAGAGGACAAAGTCACATTTATGAATTCGATGTAAAGATCATCCTGGTTGGTTTGGATCCTTACTTGGATTCTTCTACGGCTCATTTACAAGACCACCAGAAGATGCAGTTGGGTGCCACGTTTGTTTTCCACAAATGGAAAAGCATGAGTATATTAAAANAAATATTGAAAAAAAGCATAGTAAATAGTTAATTCGACCACAAATAAAAGAGAAAGATAATATTTATAATAGATGGGAGACATAACATT